ACTAAATGGTTGGATTTCTTTGAACGAACTGGTTTCCAATGTACCAATCAGATTTGGTTGATCAGACTTGTCAATTGTATATATTTTTTTAACTAAGCTAATGAATATATATATAAATATATATATTTTAATATAACAAAACTATAAACTTAAATATATTTGATATATATAAATTCAAATATATTTAAATATATATTATTATTATATTAAAAAACTTAATTTCCATATAATGTTTTTTATATTTCAAATATTTTTAAATAAATAATAAATATAATTATAAAATTATCATATAATTTATTATAATTATAGTGGTTGATAAAAAATAAAAATATAACTCTAGAGGTTAATTAAATTTTAAAAAAATAAAAATAAAAATGAAAACAATACCTAATACTATTATTTTGGAAAGTGGGCTAAATTGGCTATTGAATCTAGAATCGGTCGGTTGGATTCATTTGAACGAACTGGTTTCCAATGAACCAACCAGAATTGGTTGATTGGACTAATCAATTATATACATATTTTTTAAATAAGTTAATAAATATTTATTTACTTTTTTAGTATAAACAATATAAATTTAAATGTATATATATAAAATCAAATATATTTAAATATATATTCTTATTATAATAAAGAAATTAGTTGCAATACAATGGTTTCTATATTTCAAATATTTTTTTATCAAATAATAAAAATATTTAGAAAATAATTGTTTAAGTTTATTATAATTATAGTGGTTGATAAAAAATAAAAATATAACTGTTTAAAAATAACTTTAATTATTTTATTTTAAATTTTAACTCACACTAACTACTAACCATATCATATTTTTTCAAAATTAATTATGATTACGAATTAAATTCACATCCCATCACATCCTAGCTAAGTCTAAAAAGTAATGAATAATGTGGCGGAAGAAACTTAAGTTATGCCCAACTTTAAAATATGATAAACAAATGAGACATATTGACGTAAAATTAATTCTCTAAGATCCATAAGGTCTACAAGTAATTATTTCAAAGGAAAAAATGAACTATATAAACAAAAAATTCAAACTAGGCATTGACTTGATATATAGAACTAGGTAGAAATCAAAGTTGATCAATAGACACGAGTTAATTAATTTATTGTAAAATAAATTAGATTAAAGGCACAGATTGCGCATGCTAGCACACAGTAGCAACAAAGATTTGGGACATAATCAATCTAAACACGCCAATTTTATTTATTTATTTATTTTTTTCTCTATATATAAAGAGCATGTAATTTAAGACACATATATACAAGCAAATTAAATCCCCTTTTTTTTAGACATATATATAAGATGATCATGAACACGATGCGTGTGATCTTCATGGCCACTCTGTGGATCCTTATCATGCGTCCTCAAAGCGTCTGTAGTGGATCCACATCAACTACAGACGGTTTGCGAATTTTGATCCTTTTTTTTTTATTTTAGCTATAA